TCCAGCGGCTTACAGGCTTACAGGCCTCTCATATATGTTGTTGTGTTGATTGGCGTCTAGTTGAGCGCGACTCATAGTGATCCTATGAACAGAAGGCCTGAAGCCCCCCTACAACTATCATCATTTAGCAACGTTCATCGAGTTTCCGGAGGCGTGTGGTTTAGGAAGTGGATGGATAAAAATGATTGAACTAGTTGCTGAGATTTCACTCACAGCCAGGGTCCGGGCACAGGTTTCTATTTGGTCCAATCTGGCTGGTGCCAGCAGCATACCCACGGGACAACCCAGGGAGCCCTCCCCCTGGCTCCAGACCCAGACCACTACCTGCTGCCCTGGGCTCCTTCCTCCTCAGCAATTCTGGACCAACCTACTCCCTGGGAGCCAATCACAGCCCAGACGAGCCTATGATGTCACCATTAGCCAATCAGAACGCTTCACTTATATATAGTCCTTATTCTGCCCATCTTCTGAGATGCTGACATTCTAAAGCAGTAGGGTTCCTTTCCAAGCACGAGACACTGAAGCCCCAGGAGGTGCAGAGGCCCACACAGAGTCACCACTGGGTAGGCGGCAGTGGCAACATCATAACTCAGGACTTCTGACTGTAGCTTGGTGTCCTTTGCACAAATATGGCGCTGCTGCAGATTCACAGGGCCTGGAACAGGTCAAAGAGGACCAAGGATCCCTGTGCCTCTCATCCCCACGACTCTCCCTGCAAGGGCTCTGTGGACAGGAAGCAAAGGCTTCCAACTCGAGGGTCCCTGGCGGAGGGACAAGGAGCTTGGAGGCGATTTAGTCTCAGTGCTAGGAGGTTTGAATTGACCAAGCAATCCCACAGAAGACCGACATGGGGCTCTGCTTCCATAAAGATTAAAAAACCAACCCAATGTCGTCGAGGGTGTTGACTGATAGTGACCTCATAGGACAGAAGCGCTCTCTAAGGTTTCTGAGGCTGTGGGAAGTATTTCTCCCATGGAACAGCTGGTGGGTTCAAATTGCCAGCCTTTTGTTTAGCAGCCCAGTGTTCAGCCTGCTGCGCCACCAGGACACCTCAATAAAGACCACAGTTTAGAAAACCCTATAAGGTGGTTACAGCTGTCACAAGGGGTGTTGAAAATCAACTCACAGAAATCTAATGACAACATGAGGAAGGGGAATTGCCCCAACGCTGGTCTCAGCCTGACTCCCCCCAGGAAGGAATTAGAGAGCCCCCGCCTGGCTGCACCCACGGCTGCTGCTCCTGGGCAGATTATAAGGAGGGGTTCAGACAAGGGCTCCTTTGTGGAGGTCTTAGCTTAGGGAGTCAAGTGACTGTGAACACACACCTCCACCCGTGGGCAGCACCAGTACCCTAATGCAGGGGTGCTGCCCTCAGCACCCCAGAAAAAAACCACCAGCCTGGTGACCAGACCTTCTTGGGGGATCGCTGGAACCTGTGAGAAGGGGCTGTCTCAGGTAGGCTGGGCTAGGGGCTCCCTTGCTCCACGTGTGTGTGATCTGTATGTAAACACAGCACACACACAGGTGTGTGAGCATGTCTGTGCAAAGGCCCGTGCGACAGGAATGAGCTTGTGTGTCGGTCTCAGTCAGCTGATCCCCGTGGCCGCTTCAGAGAGATAGTGGGGCGTCTATTATTGCTTCAAAAATTATGTAACAATTCTCAGTTACTCTCTCTGGATAGTCAAGTACATGGGAGAGGGTAATTAGATGGCTCTTTGTTTCAGAAACGTGTTTATACGCCTTGATGTTGTGGCAGCTCTTTGCCAGTAAGTCCATTCTCATTTACTGTTGCCTCTCGGACCTGCCCTGTGAGCTTTTGACTGTAACTGATACTGGAATAGATTGCCAGATCTTTCTCCGGAGGAGCTGCTGGTTGGGGACTGACCCCCCACTGTTTTTGAGAAGCTTATCACTTAACTGTTGGGCCAGAAGGGCTCTTTGTTCTGCAAATATTTTATTTGTTGTCTTTGAGAACACTCACAACAGACCACGTATCAACTCAACTGTTTCTTCACTGATTCAATGGCACTCAGACAATCTGGTTGTTGTGCAAACTCTTATCTGCCTCTTTTTTCCAAGTTGTTCCTCCTTCTCTAGCATAAACTCACTCCCCACTAAGGTCCCACCTCATCTTTTGAGCTGATATTGTCATTTGGATCCCAAGGTGGTCCTGAAAGGTGTTTTGGTAAATATGTAAGGGCTTCCTATGAGAACAGGGTCCACTCTCAGGTGAGGACGGGCACTGAAGAAGCAGAAATCCTCGTCATTTCCAGTCATGCTAAATGCTATGCAGAAAGATCAAGCAAGGTGAGGGGCAGAATGTGCTGGGAGCAGGGGGGCTCTGTCGCCAAGTAAGTGGCTGGGGACATGCTTTCTGGGGTTGTTGTTGTTGTTATGTGCTGTTGAGTCGCTTGCAACTCATCTGGGGAGCTGATTGAAAATCATTCTTCAGACAGGAGGAACTGGTTCTGGGACTACCATTCAGCAAGTATTCTTTGAATATCTATAGAAACATCATTCAAGAAATCAAGCTAGGGATTGCATTGGAAACGCCTGCTGCAAAGGACTGCTTTATAAAGCTAAACAACAGGGATGCCAGTCTGAATGAGTGCCTGACAGAAGCCAGGGTATTTTCAGTTGCCTTGCCCGCCTATGCCAGTTAGACAGTGGCTAGGGAAGACCAAAGAAAAACCGATGTCTTTAATTGTGATGTTGGCAAAGAATACAGATCATACCATGGATTGCCTTCAGTATGGATTGAGGCTCAGTGTCAAGAAGACAAAGATTCTCACCACTGGACCAATTGGCAGCATTAGGATGGATGGTGAAGAGATTAAGATTGTTCACAGCTTTAGTTTGCTTGACTCCACAGTCAACACTCTTGGCACCAGCAGCCAGGAAATTAAAGATGCATTGTCATGGGAAAGTCTGCTGTTAGGGACCTCTCCAAAGTACTGAAGAGCAATGGTGTCTCTCTGGAGACGAAGGTGCATCTGATACAGGCCATGGTCTTTACAATAACTTGTTATGTGTCAGAGAGTTGGACAATGACTAGGGAGGATAGAAGGAGAATTGATGCCTTTGAGCTGTGGTGCTGGAGAAGAGTATTGAGTGTACCATGGACTGCTAGGAAAACAAACAGATTCATCCTGGAGAGGGTCAAACAGAGCGGCTTCTTGGAGGCAAGGATTCTGGGGCTTTGTCTGACATATTTTGGTCATGTTGTAAGGAAGGACCGGTCCTTGGAGACGGACATCATGCTTGGTAGGGTGGAGGGACAGTGCAGGAGGGGAAGGCCCTGTATGAGGTGGATTGATTCAGTGACTGGGGTAATTGGGATGGGAGTGTCAGAGACAGTGAGATTGGCACAGGACAGAGCAGAGTTTAGGGCTGTTGTACATAGTCTTGCTATAAGTCGCAAGTGACTCGACAGCACAAACAACAACAACAACTATGGATTGTGAAAAGAATACACAAACCTGTCTTGGAGGAAGTGTAGGTGCACTGGTCTTTGGAGGTGAGGCTCAGGAGACTTCATCTTACATACTTGTTATCAGGAGGGGCCATTCCCCGGAGAAGGACATCATGCTTTGTAAAGAAGAGGGTCAGGGAAGAGGAAGAAGACCCTCAGTGAGATGGATGCACACAGTGGCACTGCAACAACTGGCACAAGATCAGCAGTGACTGGGAAGGACGGCTCAGGAATGGGGAGTGCTTTGCTCCAGTGTCCATAAAAATCAGGACCAACTGACTGGAATTTAACAGCAGTGAAACCAGTGACGTTCTGTTCTGTGCACTGGGGATGCAGCAACAGACAAAGCTGGCTTAGATCAGCGGGTGTTCAGCGGCTGTAAATCACACAGGAGGAGACTGCCCATCTTTCTCCCAAGGAGCAGCTGGTGGATTCAAACCACCTACCTTTGACTTAGCAGGGCAACTCCTTACTCATGAGGCCACCAGAACTTCCTGGAGGGAGTCTGCCAGTTGGCTAATGAAAACACCTCCTGACTCAGAGGACCCAAACTCAGGATGTGGATGCCGCTGTTGTTACACGCTTTGTTGTATAACTTTTATTTTTTTAAGTTGGCTTTCCATTCATTCATTGCTGCACTTTTCTCCCCTCCTAACCCTCCCCCCAGTACACCACCCTCTTGTAAAAGTAAAACAAAAATTTTCATTTTTTTCAAACCCTCCCCCAGGTCTACTCCACCATGTAGCCTTTGCTCTTGATACCCGTCATGACAAAAATACTTAATCACATATCCCTTTTAAACAGTTTTCTCCCTCATCTGTTTCAATGCAGTATACATTATTGAACCCATCCTTCTCAGTCTCCCCGCAACCCTGGTGTCAGTCCCGTTTTACAACAGTGGCACCATGCAGTATTTGTCCTTTTTGTGACTGAGATACTTCACTCAGCATAATGTCCTCCAGGGTCACCCATTTTGAATAATATTCACGAGTTCCTTGTTTTTCAATGCAGCGTAGTATTCCATTGTGTGAATAAACCACAGCTTCTCTATCCATTCGTTTGTTGATGGGTTTGTTGTATAACTTTAAGGGTGGGCACCAAACACACAGGGCTACGACGCAATGGCATACGACAATAACAACAGCCTATGAGTGATGCAACCAGTTAATGCTGAGGTTGCTAAGTGGAAGGTTAGTGGTTTGAGTCCACCCACTGATCCCTTGAAAGAAAGGCCTGGTGATGTTCTGCGGAAAAATCAGCCATGTGGTTCTGTCTGCGGAACTCACGGGCATCACCTCATTAACACATGCCTATGCCGCCCCTGCCACGGTTGTCGATAGCTTCTCTCACTTCCCCACCGGAAGTCAGCGCTGGGGGGACTTAATGACAAACTGTCCCCTTCCCAGTGTCCAGACAGGAGAGCTGGCCCGGAGCAGGGAAGGACCCAGCCGTGTTCGTGTGAGTCTCAGTCTCCCTGTGTCTGTCCACCAGGACCCAAGCCCACCTGCTGGCCGCGCAGGGCCTGGCCATGACCGTCACTTACACGAGCAAGGTGGCGAATGCCCACTTGGGCTCCTTCTCCAGGCTGCTGCTGTGCTGGAGGGGCAGCATCTACAAGCTGCTCTACGGCGAGTTCATCATCTTCCTGCTCTGCTACTACTCCATCCGCCTCATCTACAGGTGCTGGGCGGGGCGTGGCGGGGCGGGGTTGACCCGCCTCAGCGCTCCCAGGAAGGACCCCTCAGCCAGATGGAGGACCAGCACTCAGCGGTCTGCGCTGAGGGTCTGGCCAGGGCCTGGAGAGGGGGGAGAGGGAGGACAGAAAAAGAACCCACTGGAGAGGGTCTCAACCCTTCCCCATTGGCTGTTGCGGACATTCACACGCCCAGACTTTACGTTTTCTATAGGCAACTTCCCCTTTTCAAATTCATTGTCATCGCATCAGCTCTGACTCATAGCTGACCCATCAGTGGGTTTCCAAGGCTGTAAATCACACGAGAGGACACTGTCCAGCCTTCTTCGGAGCTGCTGGTGGATTTGAACCACCAGAGGTGCTGCCTTTAGATTAACAGCAAAACTCCCTGTGGATTAGGCCACCAGCTGATCCACAGATCCCTCAAAATTATTTAAAAAAATAAAAGAAAAAAAAAAAAAACAAAAGCACGCGTTGATGTCAAGGCAGTTCTCCTGAGTACAGACAACGTGATCTGGTCTGTAAGTGTGTCAGCAATGATGAGGACAGCACAGGCTAGGACAGGGCTCAGATCTGTTGTTTGTGGGGTTGCTGTAAGTCTTACATGACTCACTGGCACCCAACAAGAACAACCAAGAGCAGGTTAATGTTGGGGTTTGAGCCTTGGGAGGAAGATCATCACAAGTTAGAATTGACTACAGATTTGTCCTGGAGAGGGTTAAACCG